AAGGGGCAGAATCCCCTCCCTCGCCCTGCTGGCCATGCTGCTCTTGGTGCAGCCCAGGATACAGTTGGCTTTCTGGGCTGAAGCCTCTGCAACTGCTAGACACAGAGCGAGGTCACCATTTGGTGACCAACAGCTCTTCTGCAGTTCGAGGAGTTCCTTCCCCTGCCATGTGCGTGCCTTCTGCCGTGGGGCTGTGCACAGTCACATACGGGCAACACACTGGGGAGGCTACACAAAAACAAGTGAATTTTAACACGTTAAAACCATCTCACCTCTCCTGTTCTTTCTTCTTCTTCTTAAAAGCATCACCTTTCTGTTCCTGTTTTTAAAGACAAGATATTTTAATGGAAAAGGAACACAGCATCGTGGCCAAACAGCCACCCGCACACAAAACAGGCGGCAGCTGTCGCCTCGCAGCGGGCTTTTAAAGCGGGTGGGGAGACCTTCTGCCAGGCCACGCGATGTCCAGAGCCCTCCCTGTCACCGTGCGGCAGGCACGGCCCTCGCATGACCACCCTGCTGCCCCTGCCACGGGAGGAGGCACAAATCCAGCCGCACGAGGGGGTCAAAAGAGGGACTCGCTACCAGCAAGCGTGCCTGCTCGCCTGACGGAGCGTCCCCGTCCATGACAGGGTTCGCCTGGGTCTGGCCGGGCACTGGCGGCACTTTGAGACGCGTGAGAGAGGAGGAGGAGAAGCAGGTTTCCTGGGGAAGAGGGTGGCAGGAACCAGGCTGACGGAGCAATCACACATGAGCAGACTGCACGGGGAGGCAGGGAGTGGGCTTGGAGCCAGACGGGCCGTGCCAGAGGATGGATGCAACAGAAACCTCACCCTCGCTTTAAATAATGAGCGAGATCCTAGATGGAATTGTGCTGATAAAAAACCAGCTGAAGATCCAGCTCTCTGTGGTTAGACAACACGCAACAAACTTTAATTGAATGCCATTTTTTAACCCTTAAGAGGCCAGGGAAGAAAAAAAAACAACACCCTGACGATTTTGTGTCATCAGTCTATCAGCCTCAAAGGACCACGGAATCCCAGCACGGGAGGGGTTGGAAGGGCCCTCTGTGGGTCACCCAGTCCAACCCCCTACCCAAGCAGGGTCACCCAGAGCAGGCTGCACAGGACCTTGTCCAGGCAGAGTTTGAACATCTCCAGAGAAGGAGACTCCACAGCCCCTCTGGGCAGCCTGTTCCAGGGCTCCGTCACCCTCAGAGGGAAGAAGTTCTTCCTCGTGTTCAGCTGGAACTTCCTCTGCTTCAGTTTGTTCAGCCTCTCCTCATAGGAGAGATGCTCCAGTCCCCTCATCATCCTCGTAGCCCTGCGCTGGACTCTCTCCAGTAGCTCCTCATCTTTCTTGAACTGGGGAGCCCAGAACTGGACACAGTACTGCAGATGGGGCCTCACCAGGGCAGAGTGGAGGGGGAGGAGAACCTCTCTTGACCTGCTGGCCGCACTACTCTTAATGCATCCCAGGAGAGCACTGGATGAGGCAGTGACACCCACCACAACACAAGCCTAGCTCTGTGCCCTGCACACAAACAGCTTTCACTGACGAAATCGGTGCTGCTGTAGCCAGGAACCCACGCCACGGGGAGCAGCGGGCGTCAAGCTCAGGCACTCCTGCGCCCGAGGCATCATCTGTCAGGCTCTCGGGCTAGGTCTCACCTGCTGCCTTTTTATACAGAAAGTTTCACACAAACCTTTCCCTTCTCCTCTTCCTTCGCTGCTTTTTTCTCTTTCATTTTCTCTTGGTAAGTCTTGTAGTTCACGTGTTCCTTTTTCGGGGGCTGCAGTGAAGATTGGGAAGGATACCAGGGATGAATCTTTCAAATAGGTTCAAAAAAATATTCGCACACTTGCATGGACAATATTTTTCAGGTGGTGGTGGTAAAACATTAGAAATCATTTATTTCCTTTTGGGTGAGAGGAAGGGACTGAAGGGATCTAAGGTAGACACACAGAGACCGTGTCTTTCTTGGTGGAGACTGTAAAGAGGGATTTTTATGCTCTATATCCATCCTACAAGGTTTCCAGATACACATCGAGCTAGAAGGAAAACCCATACTCCTCCCCACCCCCCCAAAAAAGAACTACAAAAGTAATTTTTTCTTTTACACTACTGATGATAAACAAAACTGAAAAGTTTTCTCCGCTATAATTTAGTTTTGTAGGCCTGATTAAAAATGAGTACATGTTGTTTTCCACCCCAATTAGTCCTATGTCATCTCCACAACACCTCTGATAACACAACCACACTGATTTTCCAAACGACTGCCGAAAACAGACAATAAAGAATAGAAAATGTAAAGGCAAGGATGAAGTGGGAGAAGGATCGGGGCTGGGATCTCGTGTTTTAAAGCAGCAGCGACCACCCCCCCCTGTGCCTTTTACCGCTTCCCTGCGCTGTCCCAGCGACGTTACCTTGGCTCCCAGCATGACCGCGCGCTCCTGTTCCCACAAGCGTTGCTCCTGCTTCTTGTAGCCAGTGATTCCAAACTTGTGCACTTCCAAACGAGCCTAAAACGTTGCAGAGAATTTGCAAGCGTTTCATGATTTGTCCGATCCGTTGTAAAACCACGCTTGACACCACAACAAAGTCATACTCCCCCCAAAAACCTGGCTGATACCTGAAATTAGGGTGCCCTAAGATAAAACTGAGTCTGGAGCTCTCCTGCAGAAGAGTTAACCACTGTCCATCTAATCTCTGGATAATTTTTAATCTCACAGGGACAATTTTTGATTCTCCTCATTTCACATAAAACACCACAACGAATGGATCTCCTCCATATGAAAATGAACCCTGTTGTGCTGCACAAAGAGCAACGAAACGGGCTGCCTACAGCACCCAACACCTACAGAGCATCCTCCTTCCTGGGCTGCAGAGCTCTTAGCCCGTGAGAAACACGGAAGGGGCAGTGGTGTGACTACCTACACGCGTGTGGTTGACACTACTACACACCCTAGCAAAGCCAGCGGTGAATTCACAGCCTTTCCAAAGGCAGTGGTTAGATCCTCCCTGTTCTCAGCGGTACGGAGCTCCCCGCAGCACCCCCAGTGAGAGATCCCACTGGATCACAGCACGTCCCCGAGCCCAGACCAGGCACATAAACCCACTGCACCGGTCTGTAAGCGAATCCGTGTCTAAGCAGGACAATGCCAGTTATGATCATATAAGAACAGATGAGAGCCAAAAGAAAAAGAAAAGAAAAAATGTCATCTGCTGTTTCAAAACCAGATGCCAACACATTTCCCCCCCGCCCTCTGCACAGGAGATCAGAGCTCGAAGATGAACAGTGGGGCCTTTCTCATCTTTCAGTAGGGACTGGAGCAGGATCGCTGTACGCTCGCTGTGTGAAGCTATGGGAGTACCCGTAAGGTGTAGCACAGCTCTTCCAAGCCCACCCTGTTCATCTTCGAGCTCTGATCTCGTGTGCAGGGGGAAAAAAAAGTGCGTTGGCATCTGTTTTTGAAACAGCAGATGACATTTTTTCTTTTTCTTCTGGCTCTCATCTGTTCTTAATAACTGGCATTGTCCTGCTTAGACACGGATTCGCTTACAGACCGGTGCAGTGGGTTTATGTGCCTGGTCTCACCCCACGGAGCAGCCGACGACAGCCAGCGCGCTCCTCCTGCGGCCACCAGGAAATCCTCACCCGCAGCAGACGACCTTTTCGGGGACACCCATCGCTCCCACCGTGGCTTTCCCGGGCGTACACAGACAGACTCAAATACGGAGACTCGACAGGTCCCGCTGACTTACTTTTTCAAAGTTAAACTCCTGTTTGTTCGCATTTTTCTCTTTGTCCGCTATTTTGGCCTGTAAACAAAATAAAACACCTTGAATTAATGTAACCAGTAACACCAGTTTAAATGCTGATTGTCAGAGTTTCTCGGAAAGCAGTGAAACGTAAAACGGGTTGTGGGGAAGAGCACACAGCTTCCCAGCAGTATCTTTTTCTAGCTTTATTACCTGGATTTATTAAAAGAGAGTGTCTCAACGGCACTTTTAATATGCAGATATTATATGGTCTCAGTGCAACGACCTTGCACAATTTATGGGGTACAGTGCATATAGATTGGAGCTGCATTTTCTTACCTGGCTCATCTGCTAACTCTTACAAAGAGTTTCATAATTCAGAAAGATATTAACAGCTGCGATAATTGCTATACCTTCAAGGATAAATTGAGTTTTATAAGAGAAAAACTGCCACACGAGCTACGCATCAAGCACATTTCCATTTCCAAATCCGTACCAAGCTGCTGATGCAGGACAGGACATGAGCTTTTAAGCTATTCTGTTTGAGACGGGGAGCGCTGTGGCAACGGCCCACGTACCAACAGCTGGTGGCAACAGGCACGAGCTTCATCGGCAACTGCACGGCCACACATGAGCGCACACCTCCAGCTTAACTCGTGCAAGGGAAGCAGCTCCAAAGGGAGCACCGTCAGCAAACGGCAGACCCCGCTCAACGCTGTGTGAAGAAACTGCTTGCTGAAAATGAGATCAGTGAAAGCTCTCGTCTTCTCTACTCCGCCTTTTACACGGACACCTTCCACCAGCAGCTCTCGGTCCGGAAGGGAACTCTCCGGGGGGGCCAGACCGTAGCCTAGGAAGGAGCACACAAGCCCCAGCAGAGCTCCCTGCCCGCTCGCTGCGGGAGAGTCTCACGTGGGGCGCTTCAGAGCGGTAACAAATCTCCCAGGGCTGTTTCAGATCGCGTCCAGCTCTCGATTTCGGGGAGGACAAGCTGAGCCACCTCTCTGTGTGGATGCTCTGCCCGCTCCCAAGCCACAGATAAACCTGGTTATTGTCAGGGACATTTTACTAACGAGCCTACCAGGCAGAAAAAATTAAGCTGTAAAAAGCATAAGAAAATAAATACCTAGGGGAGTGCTCAGAGGAAAACATGCTGCAAAAAGCAGAACAATTTATGGATTCGGCCAACTGCTTGGTCAGTCCCTTCAGCTTCCCAACTCCAAGCAGTCAAACCGCAGATACCAGTAAGTCTCCCTGAATCCAAGCCAGCCACGTGTTGGGCCATCGGAGCTGATTTCAGAATTGGGCTTCTGATGTTACAGCCATAAACACAGCTCAAAGCAAACAACCAGAGAACCTCTAAGATCTGGAGACCAACCAGTGAGGAGGGGACCCTCTGCTCGGCGTGGAAGGCCACTCTGCCTCCAGCCAAGCCTAACCTGGGCCTCTCTGTTCAAGCAACTCAGCTACAATTTTTGGCAGTGCGAGGGAATTTAGCACCCACAAACCAACCCAGAGGACTGAGACCTGATGCTGCCATGCCTTCCCACACTGACCACCCAACACCGGTCCTCCAAGATGGTGTCCCTCAGGGGTCTGTACTGGGACCAGTTCTGTTTAATATCTTCATCAATGACTTAGGAAGATCGAGTGCACCCTCAGCAAGTTTGGAGATGACACCAAGCTGCGTGGTGCAGTTGACACACCAGAAGGATGGGATGGCATCCAGAGTGACCTGGACAAGCTTGAGAAGTGGGCACGTGGGAACCTCATGAGGTTCAACAAGGCCAAGTGCAGCGTCCTGCGCATGGGCTGAGGCAACGCCAAGCACAAATACAGGCTGGTGGATGAAGGGATGGAGAGCAGCCCTGCAGAGAAGGACTTGGGGGTGCTGGTGAATGAGAAGCTCAACATGACCTGGCAGTGTGTGCTGGCAGCCCAGCAGGCCAACCGTGCCCTGGGCTGCATCCCCAGCAGCGTGGGCACAGGGCGAGGGAGGGGATTCTGCCCCTCTGCCCTGCTCTGCT